TTGAAGAATGTTTTCCTTAGAAAGGGAACTATGAGTATAAGTTGGATTACCACTTGTAGAATTAAATCCAAATTCCTCTAAAATACATTTAATATAATGAGCCTTACAAACAAAGACAATGTTGTTATCTGCTGATCAAATGAACAAACGGTATACTATTAAGAGTGGATTATGCCCCCAACCCTCCCACACCATCCAGAAAAGCAGAAGACAAGGAAACGAAACTAACTAACAAAAATCAAAATTTAAAAAAATTTAAAAAGAAGAAGTTTCAAAAAATGCCCTGAAAATACAAAAGTAAAGAAATATTTCAAATGGTAAAAAATAGTTCCAATGAAAAAGGTGAAGACAACAAACAGTGACCTATCAAGAAACTGTTGATATCCTTGTTTTATCAACTTGTTTGTCAATAACTTGCCTCGTTTTAGAAATTGTTAATACGCAGAGCTCTTGCGCATCGAATCAACTTAGAGACATAAACCCCATATGCAGGTGATAAGGGTATATTGCTGCAGAAGGAGAGTTGACGATTGAAAAGTTAAGGTCATCACGTTGATCATAAAGGTTTGTTGTTAGGTTACCATTAACGTCTTTTTTCTAGTAAAATATCTAAATATGAAACAGATGTGTCAGAATCTGTGATATCTTTTATTTCAAGCCCACTGGGATATATAGAGTCGACATATGAATGAAAGTAACTATTGTTTATTGATAGTTCGTCGTCGATATATCGAAATGTCGAGTTGAAGGCCACAGCAAGTGTAGAAGTTTTTTTTTAATAAATTTTGCTTCATATGAATACAAGAATAGGTCTGCTAATAAGGGGGCGCAATTGGTACCCATGGAAATTCTAACAGATTGATGGAAGACCTCATCTCAAAAAACTACATAGATATTGTCAATCAGAAACTCAAGCATCAATTTTATTCATCTTCAGATTATTCTTTAAGGCATTATCCATATTTATATAAAGTTGAATAGGATATGCCCTTGAGCCTAAGCTCTTTTGTTTTTAATATGACATCATAATGTGTCTTGGCTACAACTTGTCCTGTGTACTAAGTATGCAGAAAAAAGTAAACTTTCTCTGTAGGATGAGTTCACTGTGTACCGGACACATTCAATGCACCTTGCTTAAGACAACTTCGAGCAATAAACTTGCGTCAAACCTGATTGACTCCGTGTTTTGACTTGTTTCTGTCTTAAAGCTTTAGATTTAACTTTTCAATGGTGCTGATTTGTATTTTCATATGGTGAAAATAACCACAATCATAGCCTTGAAGTGATATCACATTTGTCATCATCAAAGGGTAGTAACCAGAATTTTATGATTTTGCAATTTTCTTTCTTTCATTAGACTTCAAGGGAGCGAGTCCGTCTTGTTTGGATTTTGTTAATAATTGATTATTTTTATAGAAAATTTCAACAAATTCATTTCAATGTTTGTATTAAATTTCTTAGAGTTGTTTTTTAAAAAGCATGTTCATTTTACCATGCCATGCATCGAACGCAGATTAACCATGAATCGCACATTGTGCGATGCATGGAAAATAACTCCTTTTTCCGCATAGAGAAACATGTTTAATAACTTTTTGCAGAAATAAAAAAATATAAACTCAACATATTCAGTGAAAATGCAAGCTATCGATATATGACACCTAGAAGGCTCTTCTAGTGGGCTCTCTTTATTTCCACAAACTAGAAGATGATAACCCCAAGACTAAGGCACAAGTTGCCATATTAAGAGGCATTGCTAGGGCAATCAAAGACTATGTGACGCAACTAAAATCGCTCCACATTTGTGGATCGATAAAGACAATCAAATTAAAATGGAGAATTAATTTTGAAATGAAACATTAAAAATATTTTCATGTCACTCATTTTCAAGCATTTCAGGTGTTTTAAAGACCACAGCAATAAAGGTAGAACTTTTTCCAGTTTAATATATCTTTTGTCTGATGCATGGTGATTTCTGCCTCATTCAAAAGAAATCCGATTTTAATGATATTTTATCTATAAATAGCATAACATTGTGCCTCAAATTCATATCTTATATTATACATATAAAGTTCCATTTATTGTATTTGATCGGTAGCAATATCATTATAACTTGTTCAAGTACGAAAGTGTCCGATGCATCTTGAACTCACAATATAATAGATACGCCTCTTATTCGTTTTTATTAGCTCATTTTCATCAAAACGCTTATACCTAGCCTTAACTCACATGTGCGTAAACATCATATGTATGTGATAGCGGAATATTAATACATATTAAGATAAAGAAAGTTAACTATGGAAAAGCTGAAGACATCTCGTTTGTACATACAGTTTAATTGTTAGTTGGCCCTTATCCTCTATATTCAGTAAAACATTCAAATATGAATCAGATGTTGCAGACTCTGTGGCGTCTTTTATTTTGAATTTATGTCTAGAATGTTATACGATAGATACATTAAGGACCCGATAACGCCTGTATTCTTAGACTAATTAGAAAAAGGTTATTATGATCATTAAGGTGGCTTTATGTAATGTGTGGTAAAAGTCGAACTTACCTCTCAGGTAAGGAAGTTTGGAGTGATTTTCCTCGCTCAACAGATTTGCAGAGTTAGTCTCATACGCCTTCAAGCGTTGCACCGTAGAGGTGGAAAGCTTAAAGAATACAGCATACAACAAGAGTTATCACCACATGCCACTGCAGCTGTAGAAAAATTAAGAATTATTGATGATGATATTACATGTAGTATAATTAATGATATTATTATTATCATCATAAGTTTTCTTACAACTAATAGTCTGAATTTTTTATGGTAATAATACAATACCTGTTGTTTTTTTTTTTCATTAATATATGTCATGCCGAGTTTACAGGGTATTCATTTCAATCTCCGCTTTTTGATAGACTGTATTAATCCTCGGTGCCTGAATCACTTGGTTCACCTGCACAATCCAATTTTCAAAATATATTCATTACATATCCTTTATAATATAAATCCTGCTTCAGTTTGTAATTTAAACATAAAATTAAACATGTTTAACATTTTAATTTTTAAAAATGCATATTCGTTTATGACATCAACACGGAATTTAATTACATTTAGAAAAGGAAAAAGGCACAAGGGTAAACGATTATGTTCATATCTATGTAATTTGTAAAATACTGTAATTAGCCGAAGAATTTGAACTTAATATTCTTTATAAATATCTTAATACTCAGATGCACGATGTTTGTTTCCACTATTCTAAACGATAAACACTAGACTTCTATAGAACTTTGATATTATTTAAACTTTAAAAACTTACAGAAACTTGTTACATGTATATACGATGAGGGGGTTTCCTTTCAAGTAAATGATATCAAATTAGCACCTCTGTCTAACTACAAAAAAGCCTTATAGAATTAATTTTTTTTTTTTTTTTTTTTTTTTTTTTTGGTATTATGCGTTTTTCAAGTTAATTTGACACCCCCACTTCTTTGCTTGGAGAAAGCATGGAGAGAGCATTTTCATAAATACGTAACATACTACATGTAACCCAGACAAGCACTAGTAGCACAGACAGAATAAAAGCAATGTGATTAAATTCTGAGGAATATATACAATTGAAATTTATCGCAGCTCAATGCTGCCGAGAATACCTGTATCGAGTAACACAGAGTGAGTTATTCTTGTCCTCGGAGAAAGTGTGCTTATACTGAAATTTGTTCCGCCTGGCTGACAACTGTACATTGGATTGTTACGATATGATCTCTCTCTAGTGTTTCTTATATCAAGAATTAGAATGCATAAAGGATAGATAATTGAAGGAAAATAAACAAACCGATCAAAATTTTAAATAGCCTTTAAAAAGGCGAAAATTTAAAACTATAAAAGTGTGGCACCAGGTGGATTCGAACACCCGACTTTAAAAAGAAAGTACCCACGATGTAATAGTCAACGCATATATTAACTGAGCTATTCTGACTATAATATTAATTGGTATACATTTGAAGCAGATTGTTAAAATCATTTTCCCTTATTTTTTTTTAGGTTTTTGTTTTTGTGAATTTCGACCCTAGGGCAGGGGTCCCTTAAAAAATCCTATCTTAAATTTTTCCTTCCATCCCAACCTATCAAAATATCACAATTTTATTTCGGGGCAGGCCTGCCCTGAAGGACTTCTAGCCAAAATTCATGCAAAAATCAACGCTTTAACGGAAAAATGGAGTTTCGGCCAACTTTGGAGGTTTATTGTAAAGTTGTAAATGATAAATTTTGGTTGTGAAGTACAAATTTGAAAAAAATAGACATATACATGTACGGTAGAAAACAACAAATAAAGACTGATTTTTAAATGTCACTTTTTCCGGGAAATTGTTCTCTCCTATAGGTCAATTCTTTTGTAAAAGTGAATACATCCTTTGTCAACTTTCTTCGATTTCTAATCTAGAGTAAGCTAAAAATTTATCTATTGACTCTTAAATATGATTGAATTTCATAGTTATTTAGGCAAAGTTAAAATATTTATTAAAGAATTTAATGCAACAGTTTATTTCATATGTATCACTAAACGCCAACATCGCTGAAATATTCGCCATCAGTACTACAGCATGTTTCTTCTGTTATATTGAGTACAATTTGATAGACCAATATACAGGTGTCAAATTACATTTAAATCTATCTTCTTCGTGTCTAGGTATGAGGTCATATTGGGTCGGTTGCTATCAGATTATAAAATTTTCTATTCTATGCATGAATATAAATATGTTCACTGACCAAAAATCACACTGTATACTGATCTAGGAAGCATTCATCACAAAGGTAGTATATAAAGATAGACTTCTCTATAGTCAATGATCTAGGCATTTAATCTCCCATTTTATAAATAAAAGAAATGATTCTGAAATGTATACAATTTTTCTAATTGCTATTATTTTATATTTATATTCATATTGATTGTCAATGAACAGTGCTACTAAAAAAGATTTCGTTTCGACAATTGTTCGTCTCAATCTTTCCCCAGGCAATGGAGTTTTATCTAGCCCTGGTTTTGCTACTTCACGTGGCTGAGGTAGAGACACACACAGAAAGTTGTAAAGACATATTACAGGGGTATCTAACAGGACAACTGTCGTCTGCTCTAGGAGCATATCAAGTAGAAGTTTTAAGAAGGGAATTCAAAAGTTTCACTGACGTCATTGAGGCATCGATGAAGAAATTCAAAACACAGGTGAACGCTACCATACAGAATGAACTCACTCAAGGTATAATGTGACAATATATTTTCTACACACGTTGTTTTGAAATTTATCATTCAATTTTAATAATAAAAATACTTTTTTAAATTTAATAGGTAAAGGAAACAGAAACGTTGTATATACGAGATGGGGAAAGCCAATTTGTCCCTCCAACGCAAAATTAGTCTATTCGGGTAATTAAATTCTATGTTTTGAAAGTTTAAATAGTCATATTTTCATTTCATTTTTAAATGTTTTAGGTATGTCACTCGTCAGCTATAAAGAAAAGTTTAGTCAGAACCTCTAACTTCAAAACAATTTATTATTAATTATTGAAATTCAATTTTTATAACACATTTGAATTAAACACTGCAGATTATACAGCATTTAAATTAAAAAATGCTCACAAAGTCATAAAGAAACAAACTTTATGATGGACTTTTTCTTGCGGATATTTAGAAGAAAAATTCTTCAAATCTACACATTTGTTAAAATTTAATATCTTGGAACTTGAGTCCTACATATTTTACTCAGAAAATATTTTTCGTTACTATATACTTTGAATATTAAACATGTGTTTCAATTTATAGTTTTAGAACAAATTTTACACATTTACTCAACAGACTTTGCCAAGAAATGAAGATATATTAAAGAAGGCAATATAAAATTTACACAGTTTCTGCCCAGGCCTCTATGAGACTTAAAATTTAGGCGCCAACTTGCTCCTAATCAAAAGAATTCAGTCGCCAATGCGAAATTTTAGTCGGCAGGTAAATTCTTCTCTGGCACCAATTTAAAAAATGAAATTAGTCAATATAAAGAGACATATGTCAATTGCTAACTTTTAAACGTCTTTTCTACTCTTAATAAAGATAAAAACTGAAAATGTTTTTAGATCAGTAATTTGACGAACACAAAATAAATTTAAAACGGTCGACAATTTGGCGATGTACAGAAAAATTTTAGGCGCCAATCATAATTTTTAGGCGCCATGGCGACTAAAGTAGTCGCCAATTAGAGCGAGCCCTGCTGCCTGAAAATCACATATTTTGACCAATATCTCAAAATTTACATCACTGACACAAATTTCTTTCTTTCGTTATTTTAAACTACATGTACACGATACTTCCAACCGATCAGCACTCAAGTCATGAAAAGTTTTATACAAGAAAATATTTTACTACATATTTAGATTTTTCCAAACACGATACTATTTTAGTGCAAAAAAGTCACATAATAGGTTTTGCGCATTAATTAGCATGATTTGTTCAATGATAAATGTCATTCAAACTATTTTACGTAAAATAAGATTATATCTATCTAACATCTGATAAAATATGATAAAGATTAAAGTGAATAACCTAAGAGTTACAATTTAACAAGGTCAGTTATTCGTACCATTGCTCAGTAAGATGCACACTGACACCCAATTTTCTCAGCGATTTTGAGCCATTCTATATGAGTACTTATTAAAAAATATACTTTTAAAAAACCTTGATATATTTTATTTCACGAGTGACATACCTTAAAATTTTATTTATTCAGAAATGCTATTCTTATAGACTGAGAGGTTAATTTCTAGGCACATTGTGCATATATGTCGTAGAAAAAGAAACATTTTAAAATAAATAATACACATTACTAAATATATGGAGCATTGCATAGGTTTCGCCGGGGGATCACATTATACTCATAAAGGAGCGGCTGTAGACCCTCTTTGTTTACCGAAGGATCCAGAGTGGGGGGACTACAAAGATGGCGTTGATGGGGCTAAGGCTTATGTATATGGAGCAGAGTATGAGACGAGTACCTTCACTAGTCGCTATGCATCATTAAATCACCATGATGTGCCATGTGCTGTTTGCCTTGTTCAAAACAGATCCATTGTGAAAGTATTTCCTGGTGAGAAAATGAAAATGGATAATTTTGATTTACATTTGTCATTGTAAGTATTGATTGACATACATATATGTACGTATTTTTTTTTCGTCATAGTTTCAAAACATATACTTTTATTAAATTATATTTATGATACTCTTATATCTCTAAAAGAATTATTCCAGTTAAAGCTTCTTATTTTCGATCCAAGAATTTAATGGAGATTCATTTATTTTTATATTTCCTAATAATTGAATTGGATTACGCCTGCCTGTAGCAAACTGTGCATATTTTTTTCCAAAAAAAGTCTTCCAATTTTTATTATTTCAGCAATAATTAATAAAAATGTAAATAAAATTATTTTTAGCAAGAAAAAACTGTTACAAAGGCTGGAATCTTGAGTACCAAGGTTACCTAATGGCTGGGTACTATAATCATCACGCTGGTACATCATACAAGTGTATGGACAAGAATCCAGACACCTTGCCTGGCGGCCATACTATAAAATATGGCTCTCTTTTTTATTTTGTAGAAGGTCGCTGTGGTTCATTGAAATGCCCTCCATATGTTGAGGGAAGAGAATTAGTCTGCGCAGTTTGTTCTAAAAAATGAAGAATAAAAATAATTCTGAGTTCTTTTCTTGATAATATCAGTGGATAAACATGAATTGAAAAAAAAATTGTCACCACCCTTATATTATATTGAGGCCATGTAACAGTTTACATGTGCCGGAAAATGTCTGTGGAAATTTTATATATAATGCAGTATATAATGGACTGTCCTCAAAACACAATAGAATATAATGAAAAGAAGTCAAAAAGCGTAAATATACTTGGATATTGGAAGGTCGTTTTTATAAACTTTTAAACTTTTGGTTTTTGTTGAGAATTATGAATATTCCTGCTGTATGATACATAATCAGATTATTTTATTTGTACAGCTAAATTGATATAAGATAATTTGACTGTTTATAGTAAATTTTATATATAACAATCCACTGAGCGCAAAAACAGTAACTTCAAATAAATCACTGTGTACAAGCTGGGTACTGTAATATATATAACGGTCATCAAGATATGCCAGCCAACCTGATTGGTTAATTTTTTATCTCACAATTTCAAACATTTGTCAATTTATTTGCATTAACCTACAATGATGAGTTAGTATCTTGTGATTGGTCGGCAACAAAATGGCTTTGATTCTTCACAAAAGTACTCTGAAGTTGATATTTATAAAAAGGATGCTAGAGTTCCTTATTCACAACATTTATATAGTATTTTAGATCGGATCCATAAATGAAGAAAATTATTCAATTCTAGCTAATAATCACAATAAAGTGTAACGATAATTTAATGCATTATGAATACCGGTATCTCAAGATGGAGAAAGAATAGTTTATAAAATAATATCTAGAGGAGGAGACAACTTATATCCTGACTGGTCGTTCAAAATAAATGTAATTTAAAATAACAATGGTATAAGAATTTATCTTAACCCAAAGATATAAGTCGGGAATTTTTTTTTTCACGATATATTTCAATAAATGTATATTCGAATAGAGTTTATTTAATAAAATAGTGCCATGGAGGAGTGAGCATCCCCTGCCGACCGGTCACACCCGCCGCGTGCTTCTTGTCATGATCGGGAAATAACAGAAAAATCCGTCGACAATCCAGTGTCTAAATAATGGTCTGACAATTACCCTGAAAAACGTCTGTCCGCATTTGACTCAATGATAAATTGTATTTGCTGATAAGGTCATTGTATCGACCATAGAACTTACGAAATGATGACTTTAAACGAGACTCCTGATATTCTTCTTTTATCAACTTGTTTGTCAATAATTTACCTTGTTTTAGAAATTGTACATACGTAGACCATGCTCTTGCGTATCGAATCAACCGAGAGATATAAACCCGATATGCAGGTGATGATGGTATATTGCTGCATAATTAAGGGAAGATGACGATTGAAAAGGTAAAGTCATCATGTTTATGATAAAGTGTGGTTGTTAGATTACCATTAACGTCTTTTTCAAGTAAAATATCCAAATATGAAACAGATGTGTCAGACTCTGTGGTATCTTTTATTTCAAGCTCACCGGGATATATCGTATCGACAAAGGAATGGAAATAACCATTGTTAATTATTGACAATACGTCGTCGATATATCTAAATGTCGAGTTGGAGGCCACGGCAAGTGTTTTCTTCTTTTCACATATAAGATTTTGGACAAATTCTGCTTCATATGAATACCAAAAAAAGTCTGCTAATAACGGGGCACAATTGGTACCCGTGGGAATTCCAATAGATTGTTGGAAGACTTGGTCTCCAAAAACCACATAGATATTGTCAATCAGAAGCTCAAGCATCTTTTTAATGTCAACTTCAGAGTACTTGTGTGTACAATCAGAATGGTTTTTAACAAAATATTTTTGCAAATGACCAATGACAAGGTTAGTAAATTTAAGAGTTCCATTTTTATTGAAAAAGCAACTGTCAGTGATATCAAAAAACCTGGACTTTAATTTATCGTGGGGAATGGTTGTGTATAAAGTTGAAAAGTCGTAAGTTTTTAAGCTGTTGATTTTGGCAAATATCTTGTGATTTCAAGTTTTTCAAAAGTACTTTGGAATTTTTAAGTATCCCCATCTGATTGACACCACGAATATGTTGTTGCAGAGTACTCTTGAAGTTTCTCCTTCACTACTTTTAATATCTAAGTGAGGAGTAAAGAATGAGGCTTGGTTGAACATTTACTGGAACCCACTATGTATCTTTGTTTATAAAGATTTTTATGAAGTTTCTTATTCCAGTATAGATATGGTAATTCAAATTCATTTTGGTTGTTTGGAATATTAAAAATATTCAAAACTGACATATGATTTTGAAGAATTTCTTCCTTAGAAAGAGAACTAAGAGTATAAGTTGGATTGCCACTTGTAGAATTAAATCCAAGTTCCTCTAAAATACATTTATTATAATGAGCCTTACAAACAAAGACAATGTTGTTAACTGCTTTGTCAGCAGGGACCAGCACGTACTGATCATGTAATATATCTAATTCTTTTTTCACCTCTGGATTATTGAATACAGAAGGATAGATGGTTCTCATATTGCCCCTCAATCTTTTGATGCGCGATTTTAACATACATCTGAAACATTTAATCCATTCTGACAAAGTGTCAAGGTCTTTTTTTCATGTCTGGCCCATCGCCTGGCGTAATCCTCTACAGAATCCATAATATTTATGAAATTCCGACGCCAGTTGAAGGATCGGGGTTCCCTATATTTAGGACCTTTTGAAATTAGTGATCTAAGGTCCTCATTATTAACTATTTACGTCACCAGTAATAACTTGTCCAGCAGGACTCTAGTTATAGGGTGAAGAAGAACATGAAATCGGTGAAGGATTATGTTTCAGATATTCGATATCTAGGCCCTGTAAAGTTTTCTTGTAATTAAAAAGTTTGGAAGCAATAGTCGATGTATATTTGTAGGAAATACAAGGTGTAGTCTTTAATTTGAAATATAGTGGAATACAAGACTGGACCTTTTTGTGATTAAGAATATTACTTATATTAACGGCGTCAATTCCTTTGTTGGCATATTGAAGTTTAAGGAAAAAACGGATTGGTTTAGCTGTATTTTCTTCTGTAAAACGTGGGGGTTTAAAAAGCCTATGATTTGCAATATCCATAATCACAGATCCGAGCCTATATTCTGGTGTCGAGGAATTAAAAAATGGACTTTCCTTGACCTTTTCAAAAAGACTATTTAAAAGTTTCAAAGGGACGGTGTAAAGTTTGGTGCGAATATGATGTAGACCTAACTGTTGATTTACGTAAGGTAGTAATGAATCAAAGGAGACATCATGTATTAAAGGTTTATTGTAAGATCAATGTCCATGATTACGCTTACTTACATCTCTGTGTATGGTTAAAAAGTCCCATCATATTTACATTATTACAATGTGGACTGGAAAGATTTCCAACACTATCGACATTGTCATTACAACCAAAGGGAAAGGCTGTCCCTAGTTTTCTAATCCAAAATTCTTCACGTTGTCTACGGAAAGGTGTACTCTGTGATGGAGTGTTTGTGTGGTGGTAAATCTTTTCTAGAATTCTAACTTTCATTGACAAAATAGAATGATCAGGTAAATTAAAATGCTTGTATAAAAGCTGCTGACCCCCATTATTTATCTGAAATATATGACCTGATATTCTTTTATTAAGTGTTCCCTTGGTTTCACCAACATAAACAAGTCCACAAAGATTACATTCTTTTCCGTAGACAACATTAGAAGATTTGCAGTTCAGATTTTCTGTTTTGGTATAGAAGCTCTGTCCAGTAAGATTACTGGTGAAAGAAGTGTTAGTTATCAAAATGTCACAGGTTTTACAGTTTTTCGCAGAACATTTGAAAATAGAAGACATGGGATCGGAAAAGGAATCTTCAAATATATCTCTAATAGAAACCTTACATTCTTTCTATTTTTTGTATGAACTATTGGTTTCATACCAAAACTTGGAATCTGAAGACTGTATATATGACATATGTTTAATATCTCTAAGGAATATCCTAAGGGCACCGAATGAACTCCTCGAGTCTGTGTCCCTTATAGACTCAAAAGAGTGACGCCTTTTTTATATTGGGCGAGGCGTCTGCCAGTACAATTTCGTTATTCTGTGTACTCATGAATGAATAGGTACCGAACGACAAGTATCCTCGGGGACAGACTGTCCACCAGCAGAAATACATGTTCGGTGGTTAAAATGAAATATGTGGAGATAACGAACAGTATTCAAGCTCAAAAGTCTATTATACAATACAAAATAGGGGCAGAGCAAACACGGACCTCCAAAACATTAGAGGTGGGATCAGGTGCCATGGAGGAGTGACCATCCCCTGCCGACCGGTCACACCCGCCGCGGGCTTCTTGTCATGATCGGGAAATAACAGGAAAATCCGTCTACAATTCAGTGTCTAAATAATGGTCTTACAATTAGTATGAAAAACGTCTGTCAGCATTTGAGTCAATGATAAATTGTATTTGTATCGACCATAGAACTTACGAAATGATGACTTTAAACGAGACTGCCGATTTACTTATTTCATCAACTTATTTCATCAACTTGTTTGTCAATAATTTACCTCGTTTTAGAAATTGTACATACGTAAAGCATGCTCTTGCGTATCGAATCAACTGAGAGTTATATATACCTAGTATGCAGGTGATGATGGTATATTGCTACATAAGTAAGGGAAGTTGACGATTGGAAAGTTAAAGTCATCACGTTTATCATAAAGCTTAGTTGTTAAATTACCATTAAGGTCCTTTTTAAGTAAAATATCCAAATATACCTGCAGTATTGAGGTCATCTATTAATTCCAATATTGCAAGGGCATAACCAAGTTTAAAATCTAAGTTTAATTTATAGTTATTTTCAACACTCTTTGTAGTTTGTGAAAAGTGCTGCGAACCTATATAGATTCCACTCTTTAATTGCTAAAATTACATTTTTTAGACCGTATGTTGAATATTTTGCTGGTCAAGTACATTAAATATTGATATTATTAATTCATTTGCAAGATTTCATCAGGTTCGC